CCAAAAAAAAAAAAAAATAGCTGGGCATTGTGGTGAGGGCCTGTAGTCCCAACTACTTGGGAGGCTGAGGTAAGAGAATCACTTAAACCCAAGAGTTTAAGGTTGCTGTGAGCTGTGACGCCACAGCACTCTACCAAGCGTGACACAGTGAGACTCTGTCTCCAAAAAAAAAAAGAAAAAAAAAAAGAAATTATTTTCAGGTTAACAATTGGCAACCACCACCCAGATCAAGAAACACAACTTTGATAGCAACTACAGAAGCCCATCCTGTGTCCCATACCAATTACAATCATCATATCCTCAGAGGTAAGATCTTTTGTGTGTCTGTGTATGTGAAGAATGTTTTTTTTTTTTTTAAGGTTGTAAGAATTTTATTTTTATTTTTCTTAGATCTTGACCTTTATTTCTTTCCATTCCTTAAGGGTTTTATCACCCCAGTTTGAACTGCTATACACTATAGCTTAGTTTTATACTTCTTTTTTTCATTTCATAGAATTTTAAGTTTATTTTAATGTTCAAATTCTCTCGATAGCCCTTTCACTTTATTTGAATCTATCTATTGAGGATCTCAGGCGTTTTGACTACAGATTTCCTGTAGTCTGAGCTTTACTCATTCCATCCTCATTATGGAGTATGTCTTTTCTATTCTCTGCATAGTGTTCTATACATTTGCAATGTAGATAGAGGTGTATATAAAGGTGACGAATTATATAAATATCACTATGAACTCATAAATTCAAATATATTTCATCAGTTTCAAATGATTACATTTATATTTTCTGAAGTTGTACTTCTGTTAATATAACCAGAGTCAGTTTGATATCCTGTCCTAGACCTGAAATTAGACATTTCTCCAAGAAGCCCTGGTTCCTCCTATAAAGAAATGATATCACAGGGCCACAACCAGGGCTTAGGAATCCTCATTGTAATTGTATCAGTCAGTGTTGTCAGGACATGTCAGTGGACAGAGCCAGAAGAAAGAGGCCAAGACAGACAGACAGAGAAAGCCATGAGTTATACATGATATTTGTACTTTTCAAATATAAAATTCTAAACACTTTGCCTAACTTATCCTATATTATATTTAAAGTGAGAATATTTCATAATTATTCTTTTATTTTATTTCACATTATACTCTTGGCCATTCTAAAATACTATCTTCATCAATATGATCATTGCAGTTTTTTTTTTTTAATTTTTCACATGTTCTTCCCATTCTCATTAACCAAAAAACATTTGTTGTGGCTGGATGCAATGGCTCATACCTGTAATCCTAGCACTCTGAGAGAATGAGGCAAAGGACTGCTTGAGCTGGGGAGTTCTAGAGAAGCCTGAGCAAGAATTGAGACCCCCCCTTCTAAAAATAGAAGAAATTAGTTGGGCATTGTGGTGAGTGCCTGTACCCCCAGGTATTAGGGAGGCGGAGACAGGAGAATCACTTGAACCCAGTAGTTTGAGGTTGCTATGAGCTAGGCGGAGGTCACTCCACTCTAGCATGGTGCAAAAGAGAGAGATTTTGTATCAAAATAAAATTGTTGTATTATATACTTATTGTCAGAACATGTAGCAAATACAAGAGCATATTATTAGTCACTTGAGTGCAAAAGGATTTTATACACAAATATAAATTACAAAAGATTACTATTGAATCATAAAATTAATAATTCTAATATAATCTGAGAGATTACATTAAAAAGTGAAAAGCAAAAACAAAGAAAAAGGTATTTCCAACAAGCGTAAGATAACATAGAATATATCTTCACAATATAGTATCTAAAGATTATGCCATTGCAAACGTAGTGAATGCCTCAGAACAAGAAAAATATAAACCCATATCTTTTCTTCTCTACTCTTCTTCCATTATCTTTACTTAGATCTGAAGAAATTTTAAAGCATATCCAGACTTAGTAAAGGTTGTTCTGTCAAAATGTTTCATCTATTACAATCAGATTATTGCATACACAAGTGAACTTTCCTTCCAATAAAAGGATGATTTCTTTGATTTTTGAGATGGTAAGACATTATTATGAAGTAGAGATAAAAACAACATGAAGAGCTATTCCACACACTGGCTCCTTCCAGTAATATTCCAAGACGCCCCATTACCACCACCCTACCCTCAAGGTAACAAATTTCCTGTGTTCCCTGTAAGAAAGACTTCAGGAAAATATGTATAAATGTGAACACAACTAACATTTGCTTTCTTCTTACAAAAGGGTAACACATAAAATGCTCTCTGTCTTTCTTATATCTTGGGGATCTTCCTCTAATGGCACTGTCTCCTCTTCCTCTAGTTGTGTAATATTCAACTGAATGAAAAGTCTCATAAATGACATAAGCAGTCACCTTCTGATGTTCATTTAGTTGCCACTAAACTTGTGTAATTACTTATGTGATGAGGCAGAAAGACTTTCTAAACCTGTGTCCGGCAATTCAAAAATATTAATTAAAAATAGTGGAGACTACATCTTTGGTATTTACCTGGATGGAGTTGAAGAACATTATTCTTAGTAAAGTATCACAAGGATGGAAAAGCAAGTATCTAATGTATGCAATACTAATATGAAACAAATAGATAAACAACTACACTCCCATATGAGAGAAAAACACAATTAAACTCAAATGCAATGGAAGGGAAGAGAGGGGTGGGGAAGGAGGGAGAGAGATTGGTAAACTCTCACATAATGGGCACAAAGTAAGGGTATACAGAACACCCCCTGGGTGAAGGGCTCAAATACAACCTGAACTATACCTAACAAATGCAAACAATGTAACCTAATCATTTGTACTCTCATATTAATCTGAAACATATAGAAAAGAAAACACTGGCTATAACAGGAACGGGGACAAAGATGGGACAGTACAGGGCTGAGATGTGTGGATTGAGAGAGGTCAGTGCAGAGCTGTAAGGCACTTGGTAAACTTGGTACTAGTGAGGGCATAGAGGGGCAAAAAATCAAAAATGGATCTGGTATTCACAGAAAGACACAAAAAGAATCAAAAAATAAACTGGACAGGGGCAGGCAGGATCTCAGGGAGCAGGGAGAGGAAATGTTCTGTGTCAGGACTGAGCAATGTGAAAGATGCAGGCAGAGGGGCCATGGGCTGCTTCTCCCTCTGCCCTCTCTTCACTACCCGTTAGTCCAAAGACACATCAAGGTCAGCTCTGCATTGTCCAGTCAGCTTCCAGGACACAGCTCCATTGCTCTCCTACACTGGGGCCTGGCATGGAGATGTGAGTGACATTAAACAAGAGAGTGCCTCTTCCTCAGAACTCCTATCCACACTTGCAAAATTTCACCAATTAGAGAAGCACCTATATTAACCCACATCCAGCCCTCAGATTGCTATGGAGTCAGACTGATGGAGTGAGTTTACACTCACAAATATTAATTGGAAAAACCACCTTTCAGTTAAACATTGAGGGCAAGACCCACAAAGAAAGCTGAAAGCCTGAGGCTGGACCTGGCTTGCTCACAGAAGGAATAATAAACTTCACACAATTAGAAAACACCATGAAAGCATAGAGTTGAATAAGGGACAATGATTCCAATAACTAGAATACAATATTTATGTCAGCCATCAGATAATATATCATACTTTTCTTTTTCTTCCCATCTACAGGTATTTTGGTTATAAAAATCGCACAATTTTTTTATATTTACTCTTGTCACATTTCTTTACTAACATCTATTTTAACTATATAGGCCACATAAGTGTATGTATCCATTAAAAGATAATAAAGTGACTAGCCCTATCAGGACCTAATAATTACCTGGTAGATCATAGAACATTTGATGATGAGGGTGATCATTTTGGATTTGAATTAGTACCTTTTTATTATGCAAATGAGGATTGTCCCAATACACAGCTAATCCTTGAGGAGCTGATAGCAGTGTTTCATGCCATCTCCAAAAGCCTGTATGAATTTGTCATTGCGGAGAGTGAAGATAAAAGGGTTCAGAAAAGGGGTCACCACTAAAACCAGCAGTGATGCTACCCTGTTGTACTCAGCTGCCTGCGTTTGCTTGGGCTTCACGTACAGGAACAAGCAGCTGCCGTAGCCGATCACAACATAGGTGAAGTGAGAGGCACACGTGGAGAAAGATTTCCTCCTTCCAGAGGCTGAGGGGATCTTGAGGATAGTGGAGATGATGTAGGTGTAGGAAACAATTGTAGGTATCAAAGACCCAAGGATAATGAAAACAGCCATTAAAAATAGAACAAACTCTGTGAAAAGGGTGTCATCACAGGCCAACTTGATCAACTGCCCTCGGTCACAGTAGAAATGATCTAAAATATTCGATTTGCAGAATGTGAGCTGAAATGTGGCGTAGACTGGCCAGATTTCAGAAAGGAACCCAAACACCCATGACACAATTATTACCCACAAGCAGGTATGGCTGTTCATAATGATGTTGTACCTCAGAGGGTTGCAGACAGCCACATACCGGTCCACAGCCATCACTCCCATTAGGGCCAACTCTGAGGTACCCAAAGAAAGATACAAATATAGTTGTGCAACACATGCAGTCAGAGATATTATCTGAGTCTTTGGAAGCAGCAGCCCCCAGAGCATAAAAGGGACAGCAGTGGATATGATCAGGATCTCCAGGACAGAGAGGTGGCCAAGGAAGAAGTACATGGGGGAATGCAGGCGTTTATCAACACAGACAGTGACAATGATAACTGTGTTTCCCATTACTGTCACTGAGTATAAGAAGAAGAAGGTAGCAAAGAGGACACGATGTACTTCTTGAGATGCAGGAAAGCCTAAGAGAAAAAATTCAGTGACACTGGAAGAATTCCTCAACATTTTGTTCTGAGTGCGTCTTCCTTGTGAAATCTAGAGGAGAAAAAAAAAAGAATACTGCTTCTCATCTCAACAGAAACACTCTTCCAGCTAGAGGAAATCATTCCCTCCAGCTCATAGAATCCACAGCATATTATACTATTCCCTTGACATGGTCAGTGCTAAGTTTTCTAAATATAGACAATATATGAAGGAAATAGAGGTAGCCAAGAAGATAAGCCAGTCAACAACATCATATCATTGATATGACAGCCCAACCCCCACAAGAATGCACCATTGCAACTTTCCATGTGACCTTCATCTGCCTTTCCTTCAACTAGGATAAGCCACTCTGTTTGCCTCCCTGTCCACAATGTGTTTTCAGCACTAACTATCTTCCATGTGGAGTTTCGTAAACTACCCTGTCTCCCAAGTGTTTTCTCTCCTGTCCACTCTGCTGATTACATAGTTTACTCTTCAGTATCTTGTTGCCATTGTTGTAGAATGAAGACAGGCCAAGTGATCCCATAGTGATTCTGTCCTACTCTTTTCTTGAAAGGAATGACTGGAAGATTCTCACCTCCAAACAAAGGCCCTGCAATAGAAAGTTGTATGTCTCTCTAGAATGTGGCCCAGGTTGCCTCCTGCCTGATAAATGCTGAGGATTATCTGTGGGCCAGAGGAAGCTGCTTCTGTCTTCACTCTTGGTGAAAGAAAGAACTCTCTTTACCCTAGCATTTAAGAAAAAGCCTAGAAATGATAGTGCCATGGGATGCCTGTTTCCCTCCTTCTCTCTTGCTCATTCTTTCCTTCTGCAACACATCCCTAAGGCACACTATTAACCGAAGAAAGTTAGTTCAGCAAAACCCTAGGGATGCAGTGAAGGGAACACCAAAGAAAAGTTCAGCCCTTCTCTCCTGAGGCTAATCAGGTTTCAGAATACTTAAAAGTTTTACATAATGGGCAAACTTGAAATCTTCCTCATCAAGAATTTCTCAACACACAGCTTCTAACTCCTGGTTATAAACAAGTCAAGTCAACCCCCTATCTCTTATGTGCATCTCCCAAATTCCATTTAGCTCTACTGAGTCTATGGTACTCTGAGTCAATGACTCCACAAAAAGTTGCAAAACACACAACAAAACCCCAGAGGGAAAGACTGCACAAGTGACATGAGAAAAAAGTAGAGTAGGCAGCTCCAAGATTCTCTCTCTTCACAGGGAGAAAAAAAATGAAAAAAAAAAAAAATAGCTGAAAGGATCAGTACCAAGTTTTCAGAATTCTGAAAACATTTAAAGTTTTTCAACAACCAACCAAACTTTGCCCCAGCAAAACATTTAGAATGTTACCATTGCCCCATGCGTGTCCCCTTACTGCAAATTTCCAGAATACAAGAACAACAAATAAGAATCAGTCCTATTTCTCGCCACTAGCAATGAGCAATCCTAAAGGGAAATTAAGAAAATCATCCCATTCACAACAATATCCAAAAGAACAAAACATCTAGGAATATATTTAACCAAGGAATTGAAAGAATTGTACACTGAAAACTACAAAACATTGCCAAAAGAAATTAAAGCAGACTATTGTGTAAATGAGCCAAAGATGGCCTCTGTGCATTGGCCCCACATTGGTTACTTCTTCACTGCAGGCTGACACCTGTTAAGCCAAAAACCCAGCAACAACAAACTCAATTTTTTACCTAGCCAGTTAATTTTCAGATAACCTAAACAAGCATTTTTACCCTGCAATGCATATGACACAAAACTTCACCTCATATTCACTGGCCCTTTATAAAGCAGAGCCTTATGTTTATAAGACTGTGAGCTTCTATGCCCCTTCAGAGTTCCCTGACTCACAGACTCCACACTACGCTGTTGAGGGACATCACCTGAACAAGTAAACCTCCTCTTTACCTTGTTTTCCTCTTCTAGGGAGCACTCACTCTAATTTTTTAGACAGTATCATACAGGGAACCCTCTCCAAGAACTGGTTATTGTGTATTACTGCCCCTCGTGGTTATAACTTTTTTAAAAAACCTCAAATACCATAAACCTCAATAAATAGAACCACATGCTATGTTCATGAATTGAAAGATTTAGTATTATTAAATTAGCAATACTAATCAAATCAATCTATAGATTCAGTATAAGCCCTACCAAAATCCAACAGTCTACAATAATGGAAATACTGACCCTCCAATGTATATGGAATTGCAAGGGACCGTGATTGGCCAAATCAATCCTGAAAAAGAAAAATGAATTTGGAAGACTCACAATTCCCAATTTCAAAACTCACTACAATGCTGAAGTAATAAAAAAAGTGTAATACAGGCATAAAAATAGACATACAGACCAATTGAATGGAATTGAGAGTCCAGAAATAAACTCATGTATTTATAGCCAATTAATTTTCAACAAGAGCATCAAATCAAATCAATGTGAGGAGGAAAGACAATCTCTGTAACAAATGATGATGGGACAATGAGATCTCCATATGTGAAAGAATAAATTTGGTCCTCTTACATCATTTACAAAAATTAACTCAAATTGATCAATGACCGTAGAAGCAAAAACCATAAAAATCTTATAAGAAAACACAGGGATAATCTTCATGACCTTGAATTTATAATAAATTCTGAGACATGACACTGAAAGCAAGAGCAACAAATGAAAAAAAAGATAATTTTTTTCTATTCATCAAAATTAAAAACTTTTGTTCATTACAGAAAATTGTCAAGAAAATGAAAATACAATCTACAGGACGGAAAAACATTTGCATAGCATATATTTTACATATTTAATATGATGATGGCCTTTGAGTTGTTTCCAGTTTTTTACCATTACCAAATATACTGCAATATAATCCTCATATATGTTACTATACTTTTACAAATATATAATTTTAAATAACTGTGTAAACTTTTCAATTTTATATCAAATTGAACTCAAAAAAGTTGTATCAACTTATAATTAATTTGTAATATTACATTGGACTTATCCCCAGATCCTCCAGACAATATGATTCTATTTCGGTGTTAACTCTGTGCTAGAAATGACAATATATTAGGAGTCAGTAATCAGATAGTGAAATAAGGACATGTCCCACAGGTCCTTGTCCCCATGGGAACCATGTTAACAGCTAGATGCTCACAGAGTCTTAGACTTGGAGCAGCTGTGTTACATCATGTGATGTCAGATGGGACAATGTGAAGGAAGGCTGCTGGCAAATAGGGAAGTCCAAGGAGGGCTCAGACCCTTTCTCTTAGGACTTCTTAATTTGGGACCAGTTTCCATTTATCAGATCCTAAATGCAGTTCCTACAGATATTTTCTGGTATTATTCATGGCCATGTTAGACCACCAGAAAAAGGGCCTTGTGCCTTGAGTTCTATAATTGAATCTTTCCCTGACTTAGTGAATTAATGGTCCCTCCTTGTCTCAGTCAGACTTTCTCTCAAAATTAGAGAGGAGTCCATCCAAGATGAGAAGGAAAAACTGTCCTGAGCCAGGGAAAGAGTGAAAGCGCTGTGCTCTACCATCAGTCAGAAGTAAAAATTCAACAGCAACTACTCAAACAAGCTCTCATATCTATTCTCTGTTCCCTGCATTTTACTATGCACAAACAAACTTCATAAAGTACATTCACATTGTTGTTCCACTACTTTCCAGAACTCTTTTCATGTTGCAAACTGAAATTCCATGCCTATTAAACAATAGCTCCCCATTCCTTCCTCCCCACTGTCCCCTGGCAACCACCATATACTTTCTGTCTCTATAAATTTGGCTACTCCAGGTACTTCATATAAGTAGAATCATATCATATTTGTCTTTTTGTCACTGTTTATTTCATTTAGTATAATACCATCAAGTTTCATCTATATGTCAGAATTCCCTTCATTTTTAAGGATAGATAATAATCCATTTGATGTATCTACCACATTTTATTTTGATCTATGGTATGCCCCAATAAGGAAGTAAGGCCTACTGAATTCACCAACTGGCTTCTTGGCTTCACACTGTAGAGAATTCGAGAGTGAGCCAACTAGCAACAGAAAGTTTACCAAGATAGAGACAACAGATCCTACTCGACAAACAGAGCAGAAGTCCTTTCCCAACTAGGAGCAGGGACACCTCCTGGTGCAATGGCAACATTTTTAAATATTTAAAAACCCTATACATGACCATCATGGTCTTATGGTCAGGCAATAAAGGTCAATCATAAACTGGGTCCCAGACTAGTGATTTCCGGGGATGTTCAGGGAAGTTAGGGCCTGGTCTTGGCCGAAACAACTGCACTCTGGCTCTTTTGACCTTCCTTTTCCACCTTATTCTAGCATTCACATAACCATTCATAGATCCATGGGCACTTGGGTTGCTTCCTTTCTTTGGCTATTGTAAATATGCTGCTATGAAGATGGGTATACCAGTATCTTTTCAAGACCCTGCTTTCAATTCTCTTGAATATACATCCAGAAGTGGAACTGATGGATCATATGGTTATGTGACATAGACAAGATTCTCATAAGTTGTAAGTAATATAGTCAGAATCAAATGCAGATAGCCAAATCCCATAATCTGAACATGTAGTCATTAACTATTACTATCTGCTTTTGGAAAGTGACAAACTGAGATTTAGAGGCTTTAAATAATTTTCCCACAGATACTCAGCTAATAGTGAGGCTAAGTTTTCTAAAATTTCATGTCAGCCCCCATCATTTAATCCCTCATTCATAAATGAACCTCCTTTCTCGTCCAATAAACATTTTCTTTTCTTGAGACAGTCTCACTTTGTTGCCCTCAGTAGAGTGTTGTGGCATCATAGCTCATAGTAACCTCAAACTCTTCGGCTTAAGCAATCTTTTTGCCTCAGCTTCCCAAGTAACTGAGACTACAAGCACCCACCTCAACACCCAGCTATTTTTCCACTCTAAACATGTGAAAATGTTTATTGGAGCAAGACCCCATCTCCAATAAACATTTGTAAATGTTTAGAGTAGAAGAACTTTGAGCTTTAATTCAGGAA